TATACAGAAAACATTTTTAATACAAAGGTGTATTAAAAAAAGTATATTAGCGTATCATATAAAAAGTGTGTAGCATAGATCACTCGTTGGCAGAACTACATCATTCTGGACAGTCTGCGAGTTTACCTCAAAGTGTCGGTATGCTTGGGTCTGTATGCTATACAATATCACATAAGTATGTTTTAGGGTTTATAAACCTTAAACCCCTTTCGTCAGCGAAACTCATACTCGTAACACTGTTTCTCATCACTAAATAACTGATTTATACTCGTGTATATACGTTTATAACATATATATATATATATACACCTATTCAAATAAATTTACAACAAATATTACGTATATATATATATATATATACACGTCGTGCTACCACTTATTGGTTTACGTACTCGTAAGTTTTTTCATCACTACAATATAAACTTATCCTCACTCTCGCCTCTGTGACATAATATACGCATACGTCTTTTCGTCAATACATCAGATACTGATATATTCATTTTCGTCACCATAGCACACACGTGTACGCCTTTCCGACCTCACTCCAATATGTTTCACCCTACTGTACAGATCATACAAACTATATATCCCAGACCATACAAACGCTTTTAACACAAAAGTGTCATGGTCACACCTCACTTCATTACGTTTCACCGTACTGTACAGATCATACAAACTATATATCCCAGACCGTACAAACTAACACAAAAGTGCCATACTTACGCTTCACTTCAATACGTTTCACCGTACTGTACAGAGCTGACACAACTCGCAGATGCCCTGCCGGCCGGGGTAGACCCAGCTGCAAAAGAAGTAGGTAGTCTATCCATTGCACTAGGCATGTAGTAGCGAGTATATAATATTCTTATAATCTATGTAAGGAACAATGCGATAACTGACTGTGTGTAGATAGACCCAGCTGGGAAAGAAGTAGGTAGTGTAGCGCGTATATAATATTAATATAATCCATGTAAGGAACAATGCGATAACTGACTGTGTGTAGGTAGACCCAGCTGGGAAAGAAGTAGGTAGTCTATCCATTGCACTAGTAGGTAGTCCATCCATTGCACTAGTAGGTAGTCCATCCATTGCACTAGTAGGTAGTCCATCCATTGCACTAGGCATGTAGTAGCGCGTATATAATATAAATATAATCCATGTAAGGAACAATGCGATAGCTGACTGTGTGTAGGTAGACTCAGCTGGGAAAGAAGTAGGTAGTCTATCCATTGCACTAGGCACGTAGTAGCGAGTATATATTCTTAATGTTATCTATGTAGGGAACAATATGATAACTGCCTGTGTGTAGGCAAGGTATGATATTATCTTTGTACTCTTGCATTGACCTAGTACGTCCTTATGTTCTTCTTATATTAGTCTAATATTAATGTTTTGCGGTCACCCAGTTATTCGTGGTATTCTTCTGATACTAATACCTTGAATTGTTATATTCAAACAGAACTACTTGAGCGAGGAGGACTTTACGACGATGTTCGCCATCAGCAGAGCCGAATACAACGCTATGCCCAAATGGAGGCGCATCCAAAAGAAGAAAAACACCCCCCTCTTCTAAAACAGACAGGGGTCCAGGAGTTTGAAACCTCACACTCAAGCCTGAGACATGTTTGAAATAAAGATACTATGAGTCTATTCCTAAGACATGTTAATAAATATAGTATACTGTGTATACATTATGACTGGGATATAATATAGTATGTCTGAGATATGATTAAAATGAAGATACTATGAGCCTATTCTTATGACATGTTAGTGAATATAGTATACTGTATATGCATTATGACTGGCATAAAATATAGTATGTCTGGGACATGCTAGTGAATATAGTTTACTGTACATTATGGCTGGGATATAATATAGTATGTCTGAGACATATTTAAAATCAAGATACTATGAGCCTATTCCTAAGACATGATAATGAATATAGTATACTGTATATGCATTATGACTGGCATATAATATAGTATGTCTGAGACATGTTAGTGAATATACTGTACGTACATTATGACTGGGATATGATATAGCATGTCTAAGTCGTGTCCTATGTCCGTATCTGCCTTCCGCATATAAACATAACTGTCCGATTGGTTTATGTGTTGCATTGTCTGTGGTTCATTCCCTCTACTACTTAAGCATAGTATGTACTATTCCATTGGTTTATTTGTTGCATTGTCTGTGGCTTATTCCCTCTACTAATTAATCATAGTATGTACTGTCCCATTGGTTTATATGTTACATTGTCTGTGGTTTATCCCCTCTACTACTTAATCATAGTATGTAATGTCCCTTTGGTTTAAGTGTTGCATTGTCTGTGGTTCATTTCCTATACTTCTTAACCATAGTATGTACTGTCCCATTGGTTTATATGCTGCATTGTCTGTGGTTTATCCCCTCTACTACTTATTCATAGTATGTACTGTTCCATTGGTTTATGTGTTGTATTGTCTGTGGTTCATTTCCTATACTACGTAGTCATAGTATGTACTGTCTCATTGGT